TAAGAAGCTTAAACCCCAAGAACTATAGGAGGTCAGCATTATTGATTAATATTAGCTTGGGTATTTAGTTTTCCACCATGGTGGGCATAGACAAAACAGGGGGCTTTCTTTGCCAGTGAATTGTGTAGAATACACTGCCAATCTCTTGTCTCTGTCCCCCATGACTACTTCTGATATTCAGGTGAAATTACTGAAGAAATGTGCTTTAAGCCAAGCTTTTGAGATGGTTCTCAGCCCTCAATCAAAAGAATTTACCCCAGCCTGGCCAGTGTGGCTTAATGGTTGAACATCGACCCGTGAACCAAGAGTCACAGTTGATTCTAGGTCAAGCACATGCCAAGGTTGCAGGCTCGATCCCCAATAGGGGTTGTGCAAGAGGCAGCTGACCAATGATTCTCTCTTCCTCTTCCTTCCTCTTTTTGAAATCAATAAAAACACATATTAAAAAAATTTTTTTAAAGAATTTATTTCAGAACTTTCCCTTTTTCCTCTAAAGAACAAGAATCTTCTCCCGGAGGAAATTCAAAAGAATTTAGAAGCAGCAGAAGAAAGACACAAATCTCATGAAACAGGTATTGAAGTAGCTTGCTGAGAAAGGAGAGCATACGAAAGAAGTGCTTCAGAAAGCAACAGAAGAAAAGAACTACAGTAAAATTTCGTGCTTTGGTACTGGTTCTCACGAAGGTTTCTGTATGTGGGTTCCTGCTCCAGTAAGTTGGATTCTGTGGATCTGCCTGTCTGTCTCTCCAATTTTTTGTAGTAGCAATTTTCCCTTTGATCTAAATCAGCGGTTCTTAACCTGTGGATCACAACCCCTTTGGCGGTCGAACGACCCTTTCACAGGGGTCGCCTAAGACCATCCTGCATATCAGATATTTACATTACGATTTATAACAGTAGCAACATTACAGTTATGAAGTAACAACGAAAATAATTTTATGGTTGGGTCACAACATGAGGAACTGTATTTAAAGGGCCAGAAGGTTGAGAACCACTGATCTAAATTCTCTGATGGATCTAAGAAGAGTTGTTGATTTAAAAAAAAATATATATATATATATATATATATATATATATATATATATATATATATATTTAAAATTGATTTCAGAGAGGAAGGGAGAGGAAAAGAGAGATAGAAACATCAATGATGAGAGAGAATCTTCAATTGGCTGTCTCCTGCATGCTTCCTAACTGGGGATCAAGCCGAAAACCTGGGTATGTTCCCTGACCAGGAATCAAACAGTGATGTTTGATTAGTTGACGCTTAACCACTGAGCCACACTGGTAGGGCAAGAGTTATTGAATTTAGTTTGTTCAACTTTTTAGTGGTTAGGGCAGAGTGACAACTTCCAAGTTACTCACATGCTGGACTGAAAATAAAGAGCAAAAAGAGAAGAGTGGAAGAGAAGACAGTAAAATCAAAGAAGGCAAATTCTTTGGGGTGAAACTGGACAATTTCACAAATGGTCACTGACTGGGTAATTCTAAAAGATTGTGGTCGCGAATGGATAGACAGCAACAGCTTCCTGTGGTTTAAATGCTTTGGAAAAATAAGCAAGAGAATTTCCCACATCTGTGATTGCTCTAACCACTCAGTAGGCAATTAAATTTAGAGGCATTTCATCTCAAAACAGCTAAAATAAAATAAATCATTCAAATAAGTAAAAGTTTCAACTATTTTATTAGTATATTATATTTAGACTAGAGAACGGGTGCATGAATTAGTGCACCAGTGGGTTCCCTTGGCCTGGCCTGCAGGATCGGGACAAAACCAGCTCTCTGACCTCCCCGAAAGGGTCCCAGATTGCAAGAGGGTGCAGGCCAGGCCAAGGGACCCACCAGTGCATGATCGGGGCCAGGAGGGACGCGGGAGGTTGGCCAGCCAGGGAGGGGCCCCGGGAGGGCTCCAGGGCGTGTCCGTCCCATCTCACTTCGTCCTGATCCCTGATCGGCCAGACCCCAGCAGCAAGCTAACCTACTGGTTGGAGCGTCTGCCCCCTGGTGCTCAGTGCATGTCATAGGGAGCAGTTGAGCAGACTTAGCATATCATTAGCATATTACACTTTGATTGGTTGAACAGCTGACTGGAAGACCGGACACTTAGCATATTAGGCTTTTATTATATAGGATAAGTCTTCTTAGGAAAAAGGATAAGCCTTGATGGAATTACTTCTTCACTCATAGTTTGATTAATTAAATTCATTCATTCATTCAACAAACTGAATCCTTAGGATATACCAGGCACTGTGCTAAACACAAAATTGTTTCTGCCAACAAGTCTCTTAAGCTAGTCAGAGAGACAGGCTCATAAATGGAAACAGAAAATAATGTGGCACATAAAATGACAGAGAGGTATACAAGGTGACAGAAAGAAAAGGAAGGACATCAAATCCAGCCTGGAGCAGAAGGAGGAAAGGCTTCCAGAACACAGTGGTGCCTGAATATTAACAAGCCCAGCTTCTTCTCCTCTATATCTCATAGATTATGTACAATGTATGTTTTGTCTCATTCCTCCTTTAGCCAAGTCCTGAGGCTGTAACTCCTAGAGATAAGAACTGGAAATAACTGGATATTGTGACAGGGCATGCATATTTCTGTAAATGCATGATGATGATGAGGCATCCCCAGCAAGCAGGAGAGAGGACACTGAGCATCGTGCAGCCTTACAGAAGTGCTGCGGTGTTTGAACCCTCTGGCAAGTTCGTGCATGATGGCTGGAGTGAGGCTGCGTAGGTGTCTGACCACAAACACATTGGGGCATCAGCAAATAAATATCACTGCCACGATACGGTGATGTGTAGGTGACATTTTGTTCTTTGAATTCTCCAGAGCTCCTGCAGTCTACACATCTACAGTACGTCTTAATTTGGAATTAGAGAGTGGGTGCTAGAAAAAAAACTTCAAGATCATAGTGCAGAAACCTTTCATTCACAGCAGAGGCCTCTGAGAGGAAATTGGCCTGTTTGAGGTCATGCAGCTTATTTATTAAGAGAGATGAAACCAGAATGTGGATCTAGGTCATTTCTTTAAAAAAATATGTATGGCCGAAACCGGTTTGGCTCAGTGGATAGAGCGTCGGCCTGCGGACTGAAAGGTCCCAGGTTCGATTCCGGTCAAGGGCATGTACCTGGGTTGTGGGCACATCCCCAGTAGGAGATGTGCAGGAGGCAGCTGATCGATGTTTCTTGCTCATCGATGTTTCTAACTCTCTATCTCTCTCCCTTCCTCTCTGTAAAAAATCAATAAAATATATTAAAAAAAAAATATGTATGTTTTTATTGATTGCAGAGAGAGGGAGAGACAGGAACATCAATGATGAGAGAGAATCATCGATTGGCTCCCTCCTATATGCCCCCTACTGGGGATTGACACCAAAACTCAGGCTTGTGCCCTGACCAGGAATTGAACCATGACCTCCTCGTTCATGGGTCAATGCTCAACCACTGAGCCACACTGGCTGGGCAAGGTCATTTATTTATTCATTAAAACAACTGAATGATATCTAAGTGCTGAGTGCTGAGTACAGAGTATGAAATTTATATTCATTGATATTTCTCTACAGTCTTGCTGATTGCAATCTCAGGTTTCATTTAACATATTCCTCTAGACCTTCTGGTTTACTGATTTATTTTATCTCCAGGGTCACACAGCCAGTGAGCGGCAGAGGCCAGATTCATATTCAACTCTGGTGGCTGTTACATGGTTCCATAAGACAAATCCCTTTCACCTTTTAAATAGTTCAACGAAAAAGAAAATCAATTTATTCTTCACACACTGGACACACGTTCATTGCTCACATGTTGTTTGTGAGAATCTTATATATATGAGCTCTCATTCTAACATAGTTCTAAGACATTAGAAGGGTGAGGTTGAAGTTATGCACTTTTCAGTTTATGACATTATTTCTTCAGCACCACTATATGTCATAGCAAGATACTGTATGTCATTGCACCTTCCCTTGGGGAAGAGGGAACAGGACACAGAATAGTAAGTGCTAAACTGTACAGCCCAGGAAAAAGACCAACAGTGCGTCAGGACTGTCGGAGAAGGTTCCAAGGAAGATTAGAACTGAGCTCCAGCCTCAGGGAGCAGAATATTGACACTGAGAAGGAAACACATGCAGTAGGGAGTGTGGACAATATTAACCTGGCAAACTCAGGGAGGCCTGCCTGGCAGCCTTACAAACTCAGAGGCTGAAAGTAAGCATATGGGACGGTCTGAAATTAAAACTTAACTAAAAGTGAGTCATGGTGAGTACTTACATCCTAGGCTGGTGTCTCCCTTGACAGAGGTCAGTCTTCATCCTAACTGGGCCTCTTGTCTTTTTGCATATGTCTTAACACACCTTTGGGAAGTCAGAGAAACCCCCTTTTCCCAGACTCTCGGGGCGCAATCTCCCACCAGAGCATGAGACCACCGAGCCCCTCATCAATATCTTGTTGCCCAAATACCGTCTGTATGTGCTGTAAATATCAATTGTTAACCATCCTGTATCCGCCAATGTAATAGAAGTATTTGTCTCTTCATTTTATCCCAGTGGTTCTCAACCTTCTGGCCCTTTAAATACAGTTCCTCATGTTGTGACCCAACCATGAAATTATTTTCGTTGCTACTTCATAACTGTCATGTTGCTACTGTTATTAATCGTAATGTAAATATCTGATATGCAGAATGGTCTTAGGCGACCCCTGTGAAAGAGTCGTTCCACCGCCAAAGGGGTCGCGACCCACAGCTTGAGAACCGCTGTTGTATCCACGCTGAAATTTCCCTGGTTTGCTTTCTCCCGCCTCCCTGACCTACCACCATGTAACCCTCCTTGGGCCTCCTCCTCTGATAAAACAAACTGCAAAACTGCATTCTCTGAAGCACTTTCTCGTTCCGTTATGATTTTGCTTCCAGGCAATTGTCAGTTTGGCTCAAATAAACTCGGAAAGATTCTCTGTTTGTTTGGACGTTTCTTACACCGCCCGCAGTAAGAGCAGCCGACGCTAACATACCTCTCAGTCAGCGCACGCACTGTCACGGCGGGGCGGCCCGCTGACCGCTGACATCGGGAAAGGAAGTGCAGTAGCGTGGAAATTTAAACATCTGAACGTAGGTGGTCGAGCCACGGTAAACGGCGATCCACCGGGGCCATCCGAGCGCCTCTGGCGCCCCTAGCGGGACTGCGGTTCCACTATCCGAAACCACAAGGTGGAGGCATTATCATTTTCCTCCATAAAATGCTCCCACAAACCACGACTCGAGGGTGCGCGCTACGCACCTGCACGCTACGCAGGCGCAAAGCTGTTCATTCCTCACAAAGACGGCGGGGGCACGGGCCACGCAAATAGAGTCATCATTCCGCTTCTAGGTGCGGGGGGCGGGGCCACGCATGCGCCGTGAGGACGTGTGAGCTTTATTTCACGCGGAGGAGACGGTGACGTAATGACAGAGGAGGCGGTGGTCAAAGAACGGAAGCCGGGAGGGAACGAGGGCGAAAGGGGACCCGGGCCAGGCTGGTGTTCGGAGTCTTGGCGGGGCTGGGGTTCCGATGTGGTCCCCGGAGCGGGAGGCCGAAGTCCCGGCCGGGGGAGACCCGGCGGGCCTACTGCCCCCCGAGTGGGAGGAGGACGAGGAGCGCATGTCCTTCCTGTTCTCCGCCTTCAAAAGGAGTCGCGAGGTGAACAGCACCGACTGGGACAGCAAGATGGGCTTCTGGGCGCCGTTGGTGCTGAGCCACAGCCGCCGCCAAGGGGTGGTGCGCCTGCGACTGCGGGACTTGCAGGAGGCCTTCCAGCGCAAGGGTAGCGTCCCGCTGGGGCTGGCCACGGTGCTGCAGGACCTGCTGCGGTGAGGGCGGGCCGGGGCCGGGGCCGGGGCCTGGGCTGGGGGCGGCTCCCGAGGGCAGGGGTCCGCGGTTTCCCCGACGGCGCACGCACCGCGCCCAGCCGGGGTCTGCCTCAGAGCAGCCTCCGTGTTGGTTCATAGGCGGAGGAAGAGGACGACCAGGCGCCCGGGGTAGGGGCGCCCGCGGGGAGATGGAGACGGGTCTGGGGATGGTCCGATTAGAGGCGATCCAGACGGTAAGAGGAGGAGCCTTCCTGGCGGAGGTGGCGGGGATCTGTCTGGACTGGAACCCGGTTCTGGGGTTATTTCCTAGGGCCTCCCAATGTCATCACCCCGGAACAGGTCAGGGAGGTTTACTGAAGGAAGGAAGGTCAGAGGTAAGAAGGGGGCCGTGCTGGGGAAGAGGCCAGGTTGTAGGGATCTTGCCAACAGCCCAAGCACAAGCCGTGCGCCTGGCCTATCTTGGCTTGTCCTTGGCGCAGGCTGTTTGGAGCAGAGTACCTGCCGGATGCTGAGGGCCTTGCTGAATGTCCCGGCGCCCTGAGGAGGTCCTGTAGGTGCTGCTGCCTGTGCACAGGTGCAGGGTTTTGGGTACCCGAGGCCATAACATGGGTACCTAACAGATGAATAGCGCTTCAGTGTGCAGATACTTCGCATAGGCCGTTTCCTCCGACCTCCTCGGCAGTCCCGCGGACAAGATGATGGACCTACCCTCAGCAGTCAGAAAAAAACAGCCTCAGGCAGACCGAACGACGTACTGGGGGTTCCTCAGCGGCTTAGAGATAATGCCAGGACCAGACCCTCGTCTTCTGATTCTCAACCATTTGCACGTCACGTTGTATGTATCATCCTGAGAGCAGCCTCGCCAGCCCCGTGCCTGCCTCCCTCAGTCAATGAAGAAGTCCGTCAACTTTGCAATGCTGTTCTTCCTGATTCCAGAGTCTCCCTTCTCCCCAGCGCCTTCCCATTGGCTGACGTGGATGGAACAAGCTATTCTGAAACGTCTCTTTTCTGAGCAAGTGTGCTGTGGCCAGAGCTTCAGTTCATGCCCGAAGTGGGGTGCAGGGGAGACAGTAGCTGAAGAGGTCTCTGAGGGACAGGACCGGTCTGGGCTTCCTTATTGCAGCTGGACCATCCCCTACCACTGCCGATGCAGAGTCCTTTCATACCTCAGTTTCTCCTTTCCTGTCTGCTGGCACTTCCTGGTGTTTGACAGCATCTGGAACCTGAAGAATTTCGGAGGAAGATATGCTCCGTGGAAGCAGCATAGCAGAGTAGTTTAACAGTTTTGCTTGAGGGCCAGTGGCCTGGGCTCAAATCCTAGTTCTGCCACTGGCTAAATTATGCGACAATGGGTAAATTCTCTGACCTCGGACACATTGTGTACCTCTTCAAGGCTTAGTTTGACCATTTGACCAATTATAAAATGGTGATGATTATTGTGCCTAGGTTTATTGTGAGGATTTAAAGAGATATTCCTTGCATAGCCCTTAGCATAGTGACTAGCCCAGGGGTGGGCAAACTTTTTGACTCGAGGGCCACAATGGGTTCTTAAACTGGACCAGAGGGCCGGAACAAAAGCATGGATGGAGTGTTTGTGTGAACTAATATAAATTCAAAGTAAACATCATGACATAAGAGGGTAGGGTCTTTTTTTTTTTTTAGTTTTATTCATTTCAAACGGGGCGGGCCGTAGTTTGCCCACGGCTGGACTAGCCCATGGTAAGCATCAGTAAATGTAGCTACTACTACCAGTACCATGAAATACTTATCTTCTCTCCTCTCTACCCTGGGAACAGCAAAAAACCCTTTCTCTGAATTCTTTGTACAGTGGGGCCTTGACTTATGAGTTTAATTTGTTCGGTGACCGAGCTCATAACTCAAATTACTCGTATGTCAAATCACTGTGACATTCGCTGCGCCAACTAGCGGTGGGGTATCTGAAGCTGGCTCGTAACCCGAATTTTTTTGAGCTTGCAACTCAAAGCAAAAAATCGGCCGAGAGACGGCTCGTATCTCAAAAAAGCTCGTTAGTCGGGACACTCGTAAGTCAAGGCCCCACTGTATTCTTATGACTTGCATTTCATAGTGATCCATTATTGTTGTTTTCATTTTTATTGTTTTTGAGCTCCATTTGTAAGTTCCATCATAGGCCCTGCAGCCCCTGTGCCTCTGAAGTCTTAGTGGAGAGCTTCTGTTTTGGAGCCAAATTACAGTCTAGATTTGGCCTCTCCACCTTCTCAGCACCTCCGTTTTCTCATTAGCTAAAATGAGCTGTGAGGCTGTGAGCCGGAGCATAAGCATAGTAGCTGCCCAGGGCAGGTGCCTACTAACTGGTGTTGATGGTCATGACAGATTCCTTGTTTGGGGTCGGGTATGTGGGGACTGGAATGGGGCATTGCGTTACGCCTACTGCATGCCCTTTTCTTTCTTTGCAGTCGCGGGGAGCTGCAGCGGGAGTCAGACTTCATGGCTAGCGTAGACAGCAGCTGGATCTCCTGGGGGGTCGGAGTCTTCCTGCTGAAGCCCCTCAAGTGGACTCTTTCCAACGTGCTTGGGGACAATAAGGTTCCTGCCGAGGAGGTGCTCGTGGCTGTGGAGCTGCTCAAGGTGGGTGCTCGGGAGGGAGGGCGGGTGTCCTCTGGTGTGCTGACGGCTCCTCCACACCCCTTCAGGCACCACTAGAAGAACAACATAGTTTTTTACATGGTGATGGGCAGTAACTGAGTTCACCTAACCGCCCTTATTCCGGACTTTATTCTGTAGCATTGTTTAGTTGTTAGTTGGACTGCAACATCTCAAAGGTGATTCTCTGTCTAGGAATTGTCAGTAACATACAGTTGATTATTTTCTGTATTTGTACAGATTCGTGATAAGCTAAACATTTAGAAAATGCTTTGCCTTCTGTAGTTTACTGACAAGCATTTCCCAGGATTCCTGAGGACCTTGTGACCATCAGCTTTGGCGTACCCCCCTCCCCTCCAAATCAAACTAGGTTCAGATTTTCTCTTCTCTGGCTATAACCTTCCCCATTCGAGCTTACTACAGGCCTTACAGGCCACCAGGCCCTGATCCCGTCCTGCTCTCCTGGTCAGTCGGCCTCCTGGCCTGTTTCCCTCCTCAGCCTAGAGAAGTGATGGCGAACCTATGACACGCGTGTCAGAGGTGACACGCGAACTCATTTTTTTGGTTGATTTTTCTTTGTTAAATGGCATTTAAATATATAAAATACTATCAAAAATACAAATCTTTGTTTTACTATGGTTGCAAATATCAAAAAATTTCTATATGTGACACGGCACCAGAGTTAAGTTAGGGTTTTTCAAAATGCTGACACGCCGAGCTCAAAAGGTTCGCCATCACTGGCCTAGAGCATGCAGCTATGCCTGCTTCCCTCCTTGTACCCTCAGCTCCTTTGCCGCTCTCCCGGTCCACAACAGGGGCACCAGCAAATCCACCACCTTAGATCAACCACCAGTCTCCATCCCTGCCGGAGAAAGTCACCCTATCACCAAAATTGAGTCCCCTTTCACAGCCCTGGGCCATCTCCCTCTCTTTGGTGCTCACCACCTTCAGCCTGTAAACCCACTCGACTCCTGTGTGGGACCTGGGCTGCTGCCTAGTTTCTGCTCTGTCTCCTTGTCATCCAAGCTTTGTCATCACCACTTCCTCGCCTCCCACACTCTCTTTGACCTAGTGCCCACCTACTTCAGCCCTACCACTCCACCAAAACTGCTGTGGGCAAGATTAGAGTAACCTTTGAGAGACAGAGAGAGGTAGGGAGGGGGAGGAAGAGAGAGAGAATACAAGGTGCCTGAACTGTGTACTTTGCAGAAGTACACTGCAGACAGTAGCTATATTTGAAACTGCAGACCAAACCCAACATCAGGGTCCTTGCATAGCCCTGGAGGCTTCCACACAGCTGGATGCAGCTCAGAGCCCCCTTCCCCTGCCCCAAGAGAAGCTCGTTTCTCCTCCTCTCAGCAGACCTCCCACCTCTCTGCCTCAGACTGAGAAGGAAGCCTCCAAAATCTACCACCTCTCCCAGTCCTCCAGGATTGTTGACTGAGCAGTACTTATTTTCTTCAGGGGGACACCTCTCTGCCCCACGGCACTCCACCCCCTCCCTCATGGTTATCCCCCGACACACTGCTTAGCCAAGGCCCCAGAGAAGCTATAGGGTGGTTTGGGGGGTTCCGTGCCAAGCCCCATTCCTCTGTGCAGTCTTACCTCAATGTCTCCAACCTGGAGCAAAGGGAGATAGATCCATTTATCCCCACACGAGTCCAAAAACAAAGTTTGGACTCAGTCTTTTGAGAGCAAAGGCAGAGATGGAGGTGGAAGTGGAATTACATAGGTCTTCCAAGAACCACCTAGTATTTGGCAGCAATGCAGTTTAATCCTATTTAGGTAGAAAAATAAATCTTCTAGCTCTGTAGGGGCATGGTCCTGTTATATCTGTACCCAGTGTATGTCACTAAACAGAACATGTACTATTTAATCTCATTCCGCTTTCTAATATTTGGTGACTTCACTGTTTTCTCCTGGGATGGAGACTTATTTATCTCCTTGAAACTAAAGGGTCTTATCTGGATATTTTCTGAAAGAAAGAAAACCTACTTCTGAGGTAAATTGATTTTCTCAAGTCTAGTTATAGAAAGCAACCAGTCATTTTTTATTTGAAAAAAGTACAAAACGAAAAATTTGCCCGTTGATTTTGCTATTTTAAAAA